ACTAGTATAATTCTATTTTAATGAATATAAAATTTAATTGTATGTATTGTATGTATTGGAAAAATAAAAATATTTTTTGTTTCTTTCCACCTCTTAATTTCTTCCTATGAAAAAAAACATAAATAATCAAACATTCAACTTCGGTTTTCATAGAGAAAATTATTACTGCCGTGAAAAGCAACAGTGTTGCCGCTTTCGTGAATTTCAGCTTTATCACAATTTGATTTGAATTTGAACATAACATTAGGGCGCGCAAGCGGATTTCGAACTGTATTTGTAATAGTTTTGTTAGAAAGTTTCGTTTCTCACTTTCCAACCGCTTTCTAAAAATGTGAAAAGTACAACGATGAGCACCCATTTCAATTCGTGTTCTAACGGCTCGTAATTACTCGTCGCGGCCTGCGGTCAGGACGAAATTGCAAGGCTGCGCCTCATCAAAAGTTCGACAAAACTCGCGCGTCGAAATTTATTTGCAAAAAATTTGAATAGCCAATCTGTGATCAAGTTCCGTGTGTAAAACGATAAAAATTCTTAAATGAGAAAAAATTGTAAATATTTAACATTAGCTTGGTTGTATTAATCTTTATTAACAAGATCTTATTGTATTGTTATTGTCTATTTATATTTTTAAGCTTTAATAAAATCTATGGATTGCAAAATCTGTATAATTTTAAGTATCTATTCACCTCTCGAGATCTTTATAATTTAATATTTAAGAAGATTAAAAATTGCAAAAATTATGCTCTCCATAGAATTAAAAATTTATAGAATTTAGTGTTTGTTTAATTTTTCCGAATTCCTATATTTATTTATTTATAAATCGAATTGTCACAAATATACATTCTGCGAATAAATGTTTATAAAATTCATTAAAATTAACTAAAATATATAGGTACAGTTTCTGAGATACAAGTAATATCATCAAAAGCTAAAATTCTTAATTTATAAATTTTTGAAATATTTAAAAAAACAATAATTTTAAATTGTTATTATTTTTTAAATTATTATATTCTTCAAATTATATGAAATTGTATGTTCAAGTTGTCACGTTCGAACGAATGTAAACGATGTATGACACAAATATATTAATATTAGATTCGTATTCAACAGTTGAAGGATTAAAAAATATATATAAATGTATATTTCAAAATTTCTGACAAAATTACTGTACAAAAATATCATTTCTGTTGGCAATCCTTTTTTTTTTTTTAATATTTGATATAACTAACTGGCCCAGTTGCATCAACATTATTTTAATTTTATGCAAGGCTTAAAATTCTCTTTGTCCCTATCGGTTTTAAAACGAGATAGAGAGAATTTTAAGTTTCATTTAATCAAAGTAAAGTTAAAAATCAAACTAACTTTGATGCAACCGTGTCTTAGATGAATGATCGTTATCACTTGAAAATAAAGCCATTTTACATACATACTTGCACGTATACACAAGTGTGAACAAGATTCGTCGAAAATATTTTTATTAATTACGCACACTGTTAGATAACAGTGAAACGGTTTTTGCGGATATGTCCATGTTTGTCAGATCAAAATCGCGAAACGAGCGTGAAACTGTTTTCGCGCGCGCGCCATATTACAACATGACTGTAAATTATAAGAATTGGGCCACCGTACGCACACGCATACGTGTCATGTTCTTCTTTTTTCTCGAGTCACTACATACACGAGTCACACACGCGCAATTATCGCTACGCGGATGTCTGCTCGCGATTCATGGGACCTTGGCCGGTTTTCCTTTCAATAATGCGCGATTTAAATTCTCGACACGCATGAAAAGCAATTTAACCGATCGAGGTATGATCGTTTGAAAATAAAGAAGATTATACGCAAAGCTCACCACGCTCGGTATAAAAGTACCCACGAAATATACATTATCAACAGCGGATTTAATACGTCGATAAAGAAGAAAACACACCGGTATATAGTACATTTTCCTGCTATATCGACACATGTTAAAGCAGAACGGATGAAATTCAACATATTAACCACTTACCTTTACTTGTCTCAGGTTGAATATTTTCCGTCTTGATTTCCGCCCTTGAGGCGTAAGGGATGGAAGTTGGAGATGCTTGCGTTGAAGGCGCTGCTAATTTTTCTAAACACATAATGTCAAAAAGCAATTAGTTTACTTAAAGTAAAATAAATGAAAATAAAAATTTGTGACTCCAAAAATAAATCCAATACAAATAAAAAAAATATATATATATAAATTTTCGCAATTATTAATGCATAAATTCTATATTCATAAGCGATAAAATCATAATTGTCGGAAGCACTTATTAAATAAAGTAAAATATAAATCCATAGATAGGCTCAGCTTGTACTTGACTTTATTAATTATTACGCTACAGAAGACTAAAATGAAGAATCGAAATATTTGCAAATATTTACATTTTACTTTTGACTTTATATAGAATTATATATCCTTATAAATTATACATACATTGAACATATGTATATACACTGCTCAAAAAAATTATGGTATAGAAAAATTGTAAGCAAAAATTGACCAATTTTGACTAACAATAACTTTGCGAAAAATTATCATAGAATAAGTTTTTTTTTTAAATTAAAGTTTGGAATCTCTACTTTAAAACGCTGTATAGCCAGATTTTAAGTTTGATGCACCTCTGCCACTGTAATTCTCAAAAATATGAGGGTGTCATATTGAAAATTGCAAAATTTGACGGAATGCACTTTGAAAAATTTTTTTCGAGAATAATCATTTGCAGCGGCATAAAAAAAATTCGAATTTTTCCTTTTAATTTAAAAAAAGAATCGAGTCATTGCGAATTTTTTTTTTGTAAAGTTACCCTTGCATTTTTGATATACGATCGACATTACCATATATGCACCATGATGAGGTTGCTGGATTTCTTCCTGCGGAATGTTGTTTTAGATTTGTACTAGATAATGGGTCATAGATTAAAAGATTTGGCAAGACAACCTGTCAATATCAGAGACTTACAAGCCTTAGTACAAATCTGGAATGACATTTCGCAGGAAGAAATTAGGGTCTGCATTAATATGAGGAAGCCACTGCAAGCAGTAATCAAACAACGCGGAAGCAATATTATTGAAATTTACACGCAGAAACATGTAAAATCCATCCAACAACCTCAACATGCATATCCGGTAATGTCGGTCGTACATTAAAAAAAAAGATTGGCTGCTGCAGCAAATTAGATGGTAAAATATGGCATAGCATTTTTAATTAGTTGCAGCAGTCAATTTTTGGTTACGTTAGCCTATCGAAGTCTTATACTGACATTGCGGATATGCTATGCCATATTTTACCATCTAATTTGTTGCAGCAGTCAATCATTTTTTTCAGTGTATATGTCAAAAATGACTTTAAAGTGACGGCAAGGGTGACTTTAAAGTGCTGTAACTTTATGAAAAAAGATCACAACGATTGATTTTGTTTTTAAATTAAAGAGGAAAGTACAAGGTGCGTTATCAAAATCCGGACAAATTTTAATTTAAATTTTCCGCTATATTGTGCCTCTGCCAGAGGTTATTATTGGCATCCGAGAAAGCCTGATGCTTCTAGTAAATAGTATATATCATATTCTCAAAATGGCCGCGATGATGAAACCAAGTGCAAAGTATAATCAAAGAGCCACGATCATCGAAGGCCTTCGCGCTAACAACGGAAATAATTCTTTGGATACCCGAAATCAATCGTTTATTACATTGTGGCAAAATATATGACTTTAGAATAGTCCAACGAAGATTCCAGTATGCCAGGAAGAGTCACTCGAAAGAACACACCGCGAGGACCTCCGCAGTCGTTGAAAGAGCTTAAGCGCTGATTTCGGATGACCCAGGGCAATTGTTGCGAAAATTAGCATCGATTGTTGGTGTAAGCGAGCCAATAATGTGTCGAATTGCCGAGGAAGACCTTCGATACAAATCGTACATATTAAAGATATGACAGATGCTCTCTGAAGCTGCCAGGACAAGCCGAGTTGTTCGCCTCGGCTCCCATTCTGGCCTCCCAATAGCTCAGATTTAAATCCCTTGGACTACTACGTAAGGAGCATAGTTGAAAGAGTCACAAACAAGTCTCGGCATCCCAATGACGTCATTAAGGACCGCTATTGAGGCAGCATTCGTCGGCATGAACAGCGTTACATTACAGTGCGTGCGAACACTTTAGACCGAGACTAGAAGCCGTCATTCAAGCTAATGAGGGATATATCGAATAATTGTGCTCTACAAGGATCCCCCATGTAAAAGAATTTTTTGTAATATTTAATTTTTCATTAAAAACATTTTGTTTAAAAAAACTGTTCGATTTGTCCGGATTTTGGTGACTCATCCTGCATATGTCAAACTTTGCAATTTTCAATATGACAAACACATCCTATATATTTTATAGAGTTACATATTTTTGAAAGATTTTATAGTGCAGGGGTGCATGAAACTTAAAATCTGGTCATAGGCCAGAATAAATCTTAAAGTAGAAATTTCAAGCTTTAATTAAAAAAAAAGTTAAAAAAAAATTATTCTAATTAATAATTTTTCGCAAAGTTATCGTTAGTCAAATCGTTGGCCAATTTTTACTCATAATTTTTCTATGCTCTAATTTTTTTGAACAATGTATATGTATACATTATACCGGATATAACAGAGCGATCGTATCAGGATAATTTCTTGAAAAATATGCATTTTCTTGAAAAATGTTTCAGATAAAAGTTTTTCGACTTCAAAGGAGACATAATATGACATCATTGGTTAAATCTTAGGTGGCATTGTCAAGGTTATGAATTTTTTAAATGGAATCCTCCAATTATAATATATA